AGACTGGAAACAGCCCTGAGGAGAAGGACTGGAGTGATGGTGGATGAGAAGCTCAACATGAGCTGGCACCATGAGCTGGAGATCAGAAACCTGGAAGTATTTAAAAGAAATGTAGATACAGTGCTTAGGGACATGATTTAAGCACTGAATGGGTAAATTAGGTGATGGTAGGAGAATTTAGGCTATAGTTGGACTTGATGGTCTTCAAAGTCCCTTCCAACCAGGGTGATTCTATGATTCTATGTGTCCTGGGCTGCATCAAAAGAAGTGTGGCCAGCAGGGCCAGGAAGGGGACTCTTTCCAAAAATTAACTTGGCTCTTGCGAGACCCCACTCGGAGTGCTGTGTCCAGTTCTGGAGCCCCCAACAGAAGAAGGACATGGAGTTCAAGGAGAGAGCCCAGAGGAGGGCCAAAATATGATCAGGGAGCTGGAGCAGCTCTGCTCTGGAGACAGGCTGGGAGAGTTGGGGTTGTTCAGCCTGGAGAAGAGAAGGCTCCAGGGAGACCTTAGAGCACCTTCCAGTGCCTGAAGGGGCTCCAGGAAAGCAGGGGAGGGACTTGGGACAAGGGCAGGAAGGAGTGGGATGAAGGGGAGTGATTTTAAGCAGAAAAAGGGTAGATTTAGGATCTTAGGAAGAAATTCTTTGCTGTAAGGGTGGTGAGACCCTGGCCCAGGTTGCCCAGGGAAGCTGTGGCTGCCCCATCCCTGGCAGTGTTGAAGGGCAGGTTGGATGGGGCTTGGAGCAGCCTGGGCTGGTGGGAGGTGTCCCTGCCCATGCAGGGGGGTTGGAATGAGATGGTCTTTAAGGTCCCTCCCAAGCCAAACCATTCTCTGATTCTGTGACTCCATACTGTTGACAGTGCTGAAGCAGAGGAAGAACTCACAGGTCACAAGCCCAACTGCCCAAGGTTGGGGCAGCAAAAGGCAGTGTCTGGCCTCTGGAAATACTGTCTGAGCCAGAGCAGCAAACGCCACAGCAGGACGTCCTCGAGGAGCAGGTGGAGAGAGAAAAAGTGATGAGTTTCTTCTCATTTTCTCTTGGTGGCTGCAGCTGTCAGGGCTTGAGCACACATGGAACAGCCCCATGAGCCACAGGAAATCATTTTGCTGAGGCTGCAATGACAAGGAGCCAAAAAGATCCATCACATCACCCTCAAATTGCCTAAATTTGCACAGTGCAAGGCGTGTCCTTGGCACAAGCCTGTTTTGTTCACCAAGGAGCACAAAGAGGAGAATCTGATATCAGGAGGTGTCTTGTGGATTTGCAACTTCTCTGCAGCTCTGGGCTGACTTGGTCACCAGTTCCCTCCCTCAGATTTTTTTATTTTTAGGGAATATTAGCACAAGCCACTTCTATTAGCTAAAAATATAGATGTACTTCCCAGACCCTCACTCCTACTCCTCCACCCTTTGGTGTAGCTCGGTAACAGGTCAGATGGAAGAAATGATTTGCTGGAAGGAAAGTCCAGCAAAATGATGGCCATTTCCAGCTGGCCCAGTTCTGTGTTGGGCACAGCAACACGGGATGGGGTGCAGTGCCAGGCTGGGAAAGGGGGCAAGAAGCGTGATGGATACAGGAGATGGGAGCTGCCAAAACAGGAAGGGGGAGATTGTCAGTCACTAAAGCAAGTTCTGCCATCAAGAAGCTACTTGTGAAAAAAAAAATATACAAGTTTGCTGTCTTTTTTTTTTTGTCTTGTTGTTGATGATCTTAATTTCACCGAATGTGTAAGATTTGCTTTAGCAAAACAAATATCACTCTTGGGTTTTTGCCATGCCATGAATTTTAATGCTTTATTAGAATGCTGGAGGGTTTCAGCCCAGTCTGTGACTGCTTAATAGAGTGAAACTCTGCTTGGTTACCTGCTCTCACCCCCCCTGGGACCATCTGTCCTCAGGAAAAGGGAAAGCCAAGGGGAAAAGGGAAAGCCCAGAGGAAAGAGAAAGATGGGGTGGGGGGAAGCCAAAGGGAAAGCTTGGGGGAAGGAAAAGCCAAGGGGAAAGATGCTGGGGGAGGGGGAGAGAAAAGAAGGGAAAATGGAAGGCTTGGGGGAAAAGCCAAGGTAAAAGGAAAAGCTTGGGGAGGGAAGGAAAAACCAATGGGAAAGGGAAAGTTAGGGGAAAGGGAAAGCTTGGGGGAAGAAGGAAAAGCAAAGGGGAAAGGGAAAGATCGGGGGTGGAAGAAATCAAGGGAAAAGGGAAGGCTTGGGGAGAAAAGGGAAAGTCAAGGGAAAGGGAAAGCTTGGGGGGGTGGAAGTCAAGGGAAAAGGGAAGGCTTTTGGGGGGAAAGGAAAAGCCAATGGGAAAGGGAAAGCCTGGGGGGTAGAGTTATGAGGGTCAGGAATGCACGAGCCTGGGGGGGAAAGGGAAACCAAGGAGAAGGGGAAAGCTTAGGGGGAGAAGGAAAAGCCAAAGGGAAAGCTTGGGGGGGAAAAGGGAAAAGACCAGGGAAAAGGGAAGTCTTAAGAAACCAAGCCCAGCTGCCAGCTGATCCCACACGAACCACGTACCCCCCTCGCAAGAACCTTCTCTGCAAGCTGCCTGCACCTTCACACACGGAGAGGTTTTATTTTTTTTAAAAGGCTGTTAGGGGTCTGGGGGCTCAGACAGCCCTCTCGCTGCCTCATAGAGAGCAGGGGCCGAAAGCAGGTGTGCAGAGGCTCTGGGGGGTGCAGAGAGAGGGGGGGAGCTGCGGGCAGCACCGCCCAAGCGGGAAGGTTGCAAAGGGGTGGGAATTACATTGAAAATAACGCGTTGTCAACATGGATTGAAAAGTTAATTGAGGGGAAAAAAAGTACCCAAACCCCAACCTGCGGCCCAGACC